TTCGTTTAAAATAGACATATAATAGACTCACCCTAGCAAGTCTCCACAACAAACAAAAAGGGACCAAGTGTTTAGAACTATTATATTAGATCCTTAAAAAAAAACAGTTATATATACAAACTTGAATAGTAGATCGCGAAACAGCATATGTACAGTTTTTTTTTTCGAGGCGATGATGCAGAATGGTCTTACACATCAACCAGGATGCGTCATCCATTATGAAAGCATAATATTTTATAATTAATTACTTTCCAAATTTAGATAAAATTCCGTGTCAAGTTTATGCCCTGTTTGGCTTTTTTTGGAACGAGGCTATTGTGTTTTTCAATAGTGAGCCATTTTAATTGATTTTATCTTCCTTATCTTTGCAGAAAAAAATTGATTTGTTTTACTGCTTGTTTTTATTGCACAACTATCATTTACAACCAAAGGTATATAAGAGTATATCTCATTCCTTCCTAAACGAGGCACACACACACACACACACACACACACACACACACACACACATATATATATATATATATATATATATATATATATATATATATATATATATATATATATATATATATATATATATATATATATATATATATATATATATATATATTCTATGAGCTTCATCATCATCATAACTAATGTGTAGAACATAATGACAAAGGCACCGAAGACAATATAATAAACACAGAATATAATAAATATCTTAGAGTAAGTACCATACATAATGCTGAGAAAACCACAGGAGTGCCTCATCCAATGACGATGACACGAAATAGAATGTTAAAACCCCCGCATATAATGACGAAACCGCCACATGTGTCAATAAAATCAGTGTATAATTAGCATAATAAGAAGCTATTTAGATTTTGGTTATTTATCGGAACGAAAATTTCTATACCCCAAGCTTCAACCTTTTCGTCACACGCAATTACATGATCCGTGTAAATGGACCTGAGCACTGGTCATTATACCAGGTCAATTCACTGCTGTGCTGGCGACCAATGTGATTATTGATCGCACAATACTTTACAAAATATTTTCTGCAGAGACTGTTTTCTGTGTGTGAGAATACATAGTTAATATATTTTATTCAATGACAATATTTTCTTTTGTGTGAGAATATTTTATATTGATTGTCTCTATTTTTCTATGCAGTATATTGTATAAAAATATTGTAGTTACAATATCCTGAAAAACGATTTTGAGATATATTAAACGGTTATAGCGGGGTATGTTATGTTAATGGTGAAAACTTTACATATTGAGGCGTTAATGTTTTGAAAGAATTTATGAGTATATCCGATTTTAAAGTGCTGTGGAGTGTTATTAACATCACAGAAAAGATTAAATCACTGTTTTTCTTAAATGCATCATACAGGTTTGCCAAAGAAGCCATAAGGATGTAAGGTTTTCAAAATAAGTATTCAGAGTTTCGTGATATATTAACCGACCTAGGGATTATCTTGGAAGCGCAACGACTTAGATTTAGCCTATATTATGAGGGAAGAACACGTAAAATATCGTTATATGTTATTGTGCTAGAGAAAAAGTCTCTTGCGTTTTGTGTAGGCTATTAAGTGTAGATAATGAAATAAGCAGCGAATAATCTAATGATGATGTAATTAGGGAATATGCTAAATGTAAGAGCATTGCAGACCATCTAAGATAAATTAGCTTAAGAGATATCGTTAGCATTGTATTATAAAAATGGCATCCACACTCACCAACCTTCAGAGGTGTTACCACTTGGTGTACAACGCAACAGAAGCAGAGCTGCGCAAACCGTGGTTAAAATTCTCAGAAGCTATTCCCAAAAATAATTATGAAAAACCTAGCGAAGAAATTTAAAAGTACTCAAAGATATTTGACTTCGTTGGATACAGACATAGAAAGTCTGGTTGTGTTCGAGTTGTTGCAATAGTCAGTGATGGATCATTTAAGCTCATCTCAGATGACATCAGGTTGGAAAATATTATATTATGGTTTACAAAGGAATTGTATGCTGATTCCAAAAAGAACAAGCCTATTATTTGAAAAGGCCCGATTCGGATGCCAAAAACCAGAAAGGTCCAAATTTCTTGATGGACTCCGTGAAATTTTATTCTCTCGTTTAAATTATGACCTCATTATCCATTTACCACTGTATGTGAAGGAGGTGATTAAATGAGACTAGAAAATCATCAATCATTTAGATAACGTTGAGTGTTTATAAGAAATTCGATTGAATTATTACGCAATTTTAGTGCAAAGAGGTATGCCATACAAAATATGAAAATCTGCAGCAGGACGTGCTATGACTAATGGTATCCATTAAATGAGGTATCAAATAAAGTCTTATAATCAGCTTTGCAAAGATTGTGAGTCTTCTCACGAGTATTTCTCGTGCATGGCGTCAATGTTTCGTTCCGCAGAGGATTGTAGAAACAAGGATGATATGTTTGTAGAAATACCAGACGATACGGTTATAGAAACACCAAATAATGTCAGTGAAACAGACACCGAAATCAATGAAATAATATTCAAGATGAAACCGGTTTCAGTTTTTGATCCTGGTAAAGGAAAATGCTATATCAAAAAAATTAAATGAATCTGCAATTAAACAATAATTTTCCAAATTATTAGTATGCCTACTGTTACTACTCTTATGTCATGAACTATGTAACGGATAGAAGCAAAATCAACAAGTTTTCTGAAACTTGACAAATAATGTAATTATCATTGTTATGAAATGAAGATGTTAGAGGAACTTAGAGTATTATGAATTAAATATTAAATAACCCTAAAACGTTTTATGTAAGTCCAAAAGAAGAAGGAATTTTATATTCTCGAATGTACGTGTCACTATTACTTTGTCAAAAACTTCGGTTATTACTGAACAATAGTCCTATAATAATATTTCATTCCAATAAGCACTTTGTAATTCCAATGAATATTCCTAACAAATGTCTCCTTTCAAATTCTCTAATCACAACGTTAAACAACAAAATGCATCAACAGATTAATTTTAACATATGAAACAAGAATCTGAAATGGGAATGATTGCAAAATAGGACTATATGTTATAATATACACCACGTGACAGATCTTACTACTCATCGAATATCTCGCTATACCTGTTCAATGACCAAACTCTTCCACTATGAAATAACTTAATTCTTCTAAAAACCCACTTGACACCACCAGCCAATGAGAAATTACCAAAAAACTTGTCCACAGGTTTTATTGTTAGAAACTCGACATCTATTTATAGATCCTATGCAATTTACAGGCAGTCATATCTTAAAATAGAATCTACAACAGTGTACAAAAGTTTAGTTATGTAATATCTTCTTTATTAATAATTACTACATCTTACAGTCTGTAACAAAAATGACACATAATACAGACACAGTCAAGTACAGTTACAAAAATATACATATATATGACACCATAACACTACCGTTAATCCCTTCAAGCAACTCCAGCGACTTCGTGGCAGGCGAATACCTGCTACAATATAGCATACTTGAATTATTACGAAATTGCAAATTAACCACAACCATTATCTCCCATCCCCATCAACGACAAACGGTTGTAGTTATTTGTGCAACATCATACAGACAATTGTAAACAACGATTTAGATGAAAAGGATAAAGTCATACTGAAAAATCGAAACAAATGTATTTCATTCTACAATGATTTTATATCTGGTTTCTAGAGAGCTTTAATATTCATGGAATAGCTGGCTAGAAAATAAGTAATGGAAATGCTAAGAAATTGTATATATATATATATATATATATATATATATATATATATATATATATATATATATATATATATATATATATATATATATATATATATATATATATATATGCAGTCCAAATTTGTGAAGAAAGACATTTAAACATACGAATATATGTTTTATAAATAGCTTAACGATTCAAATATATCAAATGACAAATGAAAATAATGTTTATGTGCATGATGCGATGGAACATTTCAATCGGAAAACGTCGAAATGAATATTAAATAAAGATTTATATATTAATGTTAAACGACATTACGAAGGGGTTCAGAATGCATGAATGAAAAACTATAAACTATACCTCGCACATCATGTGATTGCTCCCAGATTAGGCATGGTGTAAGCTTAAATCTATTGGGTGTACAACTGGAGTTTTAAACAGATCATTGCACGTTGATGATATTTGCCCTTGGATTAAGAGGTGAAAGTAGCTTGATTATGCATTGGCTGAAGCAAATACTGATAACTACTAGGAAATAATGAAGAGAAAAGTCGAATGGAAACGTTAAAGTCGCGAAGCCATGGTTCAAAACCAAGGCGCAGAGAAGCTAAGTACCAAAGGCCAAATTCAAGGTCATTCATTATATACCTGAAAACATCTACTCTGGGCCATGAGATGATCTATCAAAAACATTGGATGGATAACTAATGAAAATATTAGAATAGTGAAAGGAAATCTGTTGAAAATACCAGATATTTTTATGATCATGGCTTATGAATACACGCAAGGCATGATAATTAATGTATTTTATAGGTTGATTCAGAAGTACCAACTCGAAAAATGCCATATTCGCATTGAGAAAACTTGTACATTGTATGGACCATTTATCGAAGTTGCCAACAAATTATGGATTTGAATAGACTGAAAATGATATTCAGAGTTGTATTGTTGTTACTGATAAAAACCAAATCAAGTTTGAGAGAAAGAACAATAAATTATTTCCAGAAAGTCAATTTTTAAACTAATGAGTAACAGTCTGTCCGTAAAATATATATATGAAGAATTGGGCGGAAATAAAAATAGTAAAAATAGGATTTGACATTGTCAGACAGATCTATCATTGCCAGGTGATCAAGTATTGATGATGTGTTGGGATTACACGCTTTACAAAGAAGAAAATAACAATATTTTGAAAAATGACTTGTTATAGAATTAAACTATCAATAACTCATATTTTTTATGCATTTATGCTGAAACAAACCAAATGTTTAAATGGTTAGAGCGTCCGCCTCGGAAGCGGGAGGTCGTGGGTTCGATCCCCGGTCGAGTCATATCAAAGACTTACAAAAATGGTACTAATAGCTGCCTCGCTTGACGCTCAGCATTAAGAGGTTAGTGTTAGGACTGGTTGGCCTGGTGTCAGGATAATGTGACTGGGTGGGACATCATGCTACATGTCTGCGGCATGATGCCCTAGTGCTAGACATCACTATAAAATGCCACTCTGCAGACATCGTAGTGATAAGACAAAAATTGTTAAAATGTACGTTAAAATCATAAACACACAACACCCAAATGTTTAAGGTTTTTACATATGTCACTTTTTCTTTCAGTTTAAATACCATTGCTTAATTTTGACATTTGTTTTCTTATTCCATATTGTTATACTTCATTTCTGCATTTGTTTGGATGGGTTTATCTTCCTAAAGTTTTGTGAAATTCTTCATTTTTACACTTTTCGACGTTTATGTTGGTTAAGATCGTGAAGAAAAAAATTAAGATTCGAGATGTTGAAAATTTCTTTCTTAATCACAAGAAAAATTGCAAAGAAATGGATTTCCTCAAATAATATGAATATCGTATTAAAAACATTTAGTTGAACATTAGTAGTACTTTTTGTTATATGCTGATAACATAAACACAATATCTTAAGAGCAGTGAAAATACTCCTCTGTAGTAAAAGGAAATTCAAATCTCATTACAAGTTTATTCCTTTGTTCTAGTTCATTGTGCTTGCAAGCACCCGTGTCAGTGAAGATTGTTTGCATGGCTTTTTTGTCCATGATGTAAAGGACCACTAAAGATCTATCATTTTCTAAAATATTTTTGATCATATAGTTGTGTTTTTATACAGATACTTCAAATTTTGCAGTTTGGTTAGGCTGGTTGATTTATTTTTCTTACATCGTCAAGATTACCAAAATCATTAATCATACAAAGTATTCATTCCTTGGACAGACAATGGCCATTATTTCTACTCATTTATCCGGTTTATAATCAGGACACATTTCTAACACTTTCGTTTCTTATTTACCACTTTCTGACGTGAGTGTGATTGTACAAATCACCTAAAATTTACTTGTATTTAATTTGGATTGAAGTTTGACAATTTTTGACATCGGGAATGGGGGGGGGTCATGATAAATTGACCTCAACAATTTTTTTTATAATAAATTTAATAAATCAAAGAATAGGAAAATAGGAATATAAAGTCTCAATTTTTTATGAATTCAAATTGTTATAGTCAATTAGAAATCTGTTTTTAAAAAAGTATTTTAAAATGTATTAAAATTTATTTGTAGACCTTTCAATTTCCATAATTCTACTTTTAGCATAAAAACCAGCAGTATAAAATCTTATTAGTTTGTAGGGGAGAGGCAAATTTTTTTTGCATAATTTTTAGGGAGAGGTCAATGAAAGTTTGACAGTTGTGGACAAGGAGGGAAGGGGGTAACTATTGCCTAAAATTGTTGACATAATCAATGGACGTCCCTAAAGACTTTAGCAAGTGTTTGCTAAATCTGATATCCCTTGGAAGAAGGAAAGGATATAGTTGGCGATGACCTGAAATTCAAAAGGTATTCCAATCAACTTTCTAACTTTCTATTTAAAAAAAAAATAAGAAACGAATAGATTCACAATCCTTATTGCACCTGATCGCAACTTTCTCAGTGAATCATTAATAATGGCTTAATCAATCCTGTTTGTCCTAATTACAACATGTAAACAAACATATTTGCTTATAATGACGATGTCATAATCATTCAGCTTGAAAAAAAAATCATTGCTTATGTAGGACATATGATGTCTTTATCAAGCAAACTGTTCTGCTCTCATATCCAACGAGACGAATTAATTATCCGGTGCATTCATGACATTTTTTGGTTATCTTTTTAATTTATATCTCTAACGTTTACTTTGGTTTCATGTTGGTCGGTCCGTATGCAGTACAACGATGCATTGGTCTGAGGTATTTAACTCCTTGCGTTATTTTTAATCAGATTTCAAGATACAAGTTTCAATTTATTCTCATGAAGAAAACGATTGCTGAAAACGTATATAAATTGCATACACACTTACACCCATCACAAATGCAACAAATGTATTTACTAATATTTCTTTTGATCATTTAGAGGTTGAAATATCTCAAGAATCTTAAGTTATCTTAAGTTTTCAAGAATACTTTATTTTCTTATTGACCTGATGCGTAGAAAACAAAATCATAGTCCAGGTTGCTAAAAATCTGTCACTATATCTTGTTTTCTCAAACTTTTATTCAAGTAGTCCATTAACTACTTGTTTTTATTGAACTCGGTTGTTTTCTGTAATTCTTTAATATTTTTGTCATTGTTAACTTTCGCTGCATTAGAACCATTGCATTCAAACGTGTTAAAACAGAGTGCTTATTCCCCTAAATACTACGCTGCTTCCTTTTCCTACTTTGCCATTGCATGTCATTTTCATTCTGACATTATTACCATTTCCGTTTCATAAAGGAACCTGTATTTTATTTTGGTACACTGTACCGCTGATTTGGCTGTTTATCTGTTTTTTGTGTGAGTCGTTATGTTACCTCCAAATTCTTAATGGAAACAACCTTCCTTTTTAAAAGAAAGCGATTGTGCAATTAGAACAAATTTAGAACATGGTCACTTAGTTAGAAGGCATATAATAAAGCTTATTAGTTCATTCCCAAAATAGTAAATGGCAATCCAACCGAAGGCTTGGTTTGTTTGCCATCATTTTATTTTTAAAAATGTGTTTTCATGCTGGGTGTTAATAATAAATAAAATTTGCAGACACATTTATCCTTAAGTACAAAACAATTTTGGTCGCAAAAGCAATGTGTGCTTGGCTTCTCCCCGTGACAAGGAGCGATTTATGGAGGCTACAAAAAGGTGATGATATGTGTGCACGCTCTAAATGAGGCTTGACAACACAAACAAAAGTTACAATTTTACAGCAATGTGGTGCTCCGAGAGGCAACTATATGTCTTTAAAAAAAAGCATCACTTTAAGATGTGTTTAAACGTCTTCTCAAGATAAAAGTTGAACTAATTTTTTTAATAATTTGCAAAAATGAACTGTTGCAATGGGACATTAGTTTTATATCAATGAGTTTAATGCTAGAAAACTAAACGAGAGAAAGGCAAATGCCATCCAGTTACTTGTAACTTTAACAGGAAAGTGGCCTAATTTATCTCAATGAGCTATTGGTCTTGATCAGTTTGGTGATGCTGTTGTGAAGCCATATCATAGAATATGATTCTTTGCGAGACAAAAAAGCTGAGGAAATGTCTAAAAACCAGAGGTAAGGTTACAACCTTGTCTGGAGGGTATTCCAGCTTTTCGAGTGGAAAAAGTACTTAATTTTATCACAAAACCCCCAAACCAATCCAACACGCCGTACACAATGCAAGTAATTTAAGCTTCCTATGTCATGAGAAACTCGACGGCAACCCAGGGACATACAAAATGTGAGGGATATGTTACGTATAGTACAGTAATATAGTCCTTGGCCAACGATGTATTTTATCCACGTGCTGTCAAAGTGCTTTTGCACGTGGATGAGCAGATTTTGGTATGCCAGTAAAAATCATGACAAGACCTGAAGATTCGATCAGTAGAACCAGTTGACCCATACACAATATTAGCAGCGTTGGGGTTTTTTTTTTTTGTGTTTTGATATATCAAAATTTAATAAGATTTACGTAGCAAATATAATATACGATTTAATATTGGCTATATAGTAGTTTGTACCGGAATGGTACAGCAGTCCAAAAACTGGTAATTGGCTTTGTTTCATTTGAAACAGCTACAAATGCGTTGCTCGTGTTGTTGTTCTGTATGCATACGATCAGACGGTGGCCTGTAGAAGGAAGTCTTACATTGTCCTGTCACATTATTCCACTCGTAAGATTGCATGTGTTCACTTGGACCAGGTCATCTCTATACGTCGTTCAAAAGGTCTGAGTACAAAAAGGTCAGGAAGTGCCTCACCAACGGCGTTGATTGTGTTAAAGCTCTTTGACCATGTGTAGTCAACACTCGAGTAAAGTAACGCCGTATCTGCAAGTGGTGCAGTGCCGTTTATAGACAAAGCGAAGCCCTAAGCTATGGGAAGCTATAGAGGCCATATTTGGTATAAAATAAATTTGAGGGGGGCCTTCAGGTTGAGTTCAGACTTTGGGGCCCTAAGCTGTAGCTTGTTTAACTTATACCTAAATCCGGTATTGAAGTGGTGGATTCTGAAGAAGCTAGATTGAAGTGCAATTGCACATGACCTGAATCAGCGATAAAAGACACGAAACCTAATTGTCTGCGTACGCCGTTCCGCTGCTCCAGTTGTATCTGTATGTATGCCCTTATGCCAAAGTAGGGCAGAGAAGGACTCATCAACGGCTACCTTAAATTTTTTAAATGTGGTAGTTCCAACTGAAAGACCTGTCCCAGAATGCGAAGAGACGATTACTGCTATTGGGTTGAACTCCCTGAAAATTTTTGTGTCTGTATGACGTGATCTTAGTGATCTTTCCCAAATTGTTAAATTTGGTTGGAAGAACATCTGGCTGGATACGATAAAAATATATTCTTATTAGCTGACGTTCTTGTTATTGATGACACGTAAGCGAGTCACTATGACGTCACGAAGTCATCGTTGTCTATAAACAAGCACAGGTTGGAGAGCAGTTAAAATGGATTTTTATTTAGATCATAGTATTTGGTGGTGGGGTTGAAGGTTGTAGAATTCTATGGTGTATGCCAAAAACATCTGATTGACATGCGACGTATGTAATTATAAAAGTGAAAAAGCAACAAAAAAAAATAATTTCGATTAATTTCTTGAATGGGAAATCTAGTAAAAACTGTTTCATTCGGTATTTCACTTTTGTCCTTAAGTGCTTTTCTAAAGTATCAGTTTCATTCTGGTTATTGTTGATTACTTCTTCATAAATAAATATATTACACAAATTTATGTAATAAACATTTATATTGTTCGACCACTTGATTGTAGTAGGATTAGAAATACAATTTTTAAAAATCTAATAATA